TTATCGAATATGGTAAAAAAGAAAGTAACACTTTCCACTCTTCTTTTTTCTTTTCAGATTCTTACATCATTAAAAATGCTGATCTTCATTAAAAAGCTGTCTGAGAATAAAGTCGCTGCTACGCTAACAAAGAGCCCCAGTGAATGAATCTTTGAGAGGCCTTATGCACACAGAGAGCATATTTAATCATGGGAAGGGTCTGCTCTCCACAGATAAACACTGGAGAAGCAGAGGAAAACAAATCAGGCCACCGCCTCTACACTCTTCCTTTCACAACATTCAGGATGTGAAGATTTAAAGGAATAAAGCTCAGTAGAGCGTGATGTAATTAGATAGGAAAGTTAAAAAAAACAAACACTTTTATCGAATGAAGGTTGAAAATGTCTCCATGCAACAATCAAACAGCTGTTACTGTCCCTCTTCACCTGAATATTCTTTTAGAGACCAAAACCAACAAGACTCGGAGGGTTTGGGTTATATTAGAAAGGCGTGGATGACACTGAGAAAACCTATCCTGTACAAACAAAGGGCAACAAAAATGCTTAACTGTAAAGTATACACCACTACAGGACAATGGAAACACAATAAGGTAACACACAGCAGTCTGCTAACAGACATGCACCTGTCATCTATCTCCAATACACTGGATGTGCTTTCGTTTTAGATTTCAGCTGTCAAAATGTTATCGCTCTACTGTGAATATTTCAACGTGTCTCTGTTACGATAAATCAACTTCCTGTTGGGGAGTTTTAGTTTCCTGCCAGTCAAAGCAGAATTTAAATATGTTTGGGTGGACGCAATTACGACCCCAGAAGCTTGCTGCTGGTTTAAATAAGGTTGCTATGTGTGAAAGAAAGGGTGTTATTACTTTAAGGAAGCTGCTGAGATTTAATACAGGTTTTAAAAAAAGGAGCAAAGTGGGGAAAAAATGGTGCCACTCTTGATTACCTTGAGCATCTATATGAAAGGAGGCTCTTCGCAAAGGCACGGCCCATCAGTTTGGACATCTCACAACATGTTCACTTCCATCATGCTTCCACCACCAAGCCAAAGGTTTAGCCAACATGCCAATAGATACTATCTATTTTCAACTTTTCCCCTCCATGACTGGTGACATGTAGGACATTTGGCTCTTGGACTTTAGAATTTCACCTGCAGTTTACTTTAATACTTACTGAGCTGAATGTAGCGTGCCTGCTTATCTTCAAGACTGTATAGGGGAGTGTTGGCGGCACAATCACCTCGACCGTTCATCATAATCTAATGAAACTCTATAACCTAGGGCATTCATTTTGTGGAACAAAGGGCTTAACACTATGAACCATAAAAACATTAGCTAATCAAATAACACCTTCCTTCAAACAGATGCTCCTGCAGGTCGAGCTTTGCATCCCGCACCAGCCTCATTAACACAGGCTTTATGTAACAGTCTAAACAGTCATTATCATGTCAGTGACATTTATAGAAGCTTTCATATACACAAAACTCATTACAGATACACACACACACACACACACACACACACAGTTTGAGTCTAGAATCACCAAATGGTTTGGCAGAAGGCTGATGGTTTGCTGTGCCATAAACACAACAAACACTGACTAAAGACAATCTGCTTTCTTCGTGCTGCTTCTCCACCCAAATAATTAGTGAGGTGCAGCACTACATCATTCATGCTGAGAACAGACCTTAACATATTAACCAACCATAAACTGTTACTGGACTTTAATAACTATTATTAGTATTCTACTTTTTCTCCCTTACTATCAGCTTGTTTTCTGGTGTTTTTCTGGCTGAGGTACAGATGAGCACCACAGGCACACATCTGTAATCATCACCAGGAAACAGCGGACACGGTGGCAGCCAGTCTTTGTTAGGGATCACCTGGCAAGCCTCTTCGAGCACAGGCTGAACTGCAGAGCTTCATACGAACCAACATGTTTGTTTTTCCGACTCGATAACTGCTGAGCTGAAAACACCCACCTCCTTTTTGACGGTGCGCAGCAGCCGCTGACGGGTCTCTGCCTCTGAAACACAAATAAACCAAACAGCGCATCTTTACTTTCTGACACGACTCAACTTTCTCCGCGTTCCCAAACAGAGCCAAATGTTACTTAAATAAATTTAAACAACAGATGATTACTAAAAAATGTTCTTTTGCTCCCACCTGCCATGATTGTTGCCATGGATCCTGTCTCCTGTCTGAACGCAGCACCCTCCCATCAGCTGCTTGTACAATGTGGATCACGACTCCACCTCCTCCGAACACACGCCTCTTAAAGACACGCTGCGCTCCCTCCGGGAACGGGTCAGAACCAGGGGAGAGAAATAAATGTGCCGAAAGACAGCTTTCTAGCCTTATAATCGCAGTGGACTATATTATTTACGGATACAACCCGTATGGATACAACGTATTACAAACGCTCTTTTGTTACAAGAAATCTTGTAACAATCTGACTCAAGGATAGTAAAAATAATTTGGTTTAACCGAGATTTTAGATGAAATCTTTTACTGAAATTAAGACATGACTAAAACATATCAGAGCTTCGTGTTTGCGTAAATTTATCAGATGGGGAAATCTTTTGTCCTTCCGCCATCTTGTGGTCAAAATGTAAAAGAACGGTTACATTAAGATACCAAACAAAACAAAACTAAAATTAAATTCAATTCTGGGTAAAAATTATTATATAAAAATCAGTTATTAAACATGATAAACAAATAAAATAAAATAAAATCTGTTGATTAACCGTAACTACTAAAATAATAAGTAAATAACTAACTAAATTAATGAATAAAGAAATAAAAACAAAGGGGCAAAAGAGAATAAAAAAATAAATAAAATAAAAATATATATAAAGATCCATTCTTCCCCTCATCTGTTCTACTGTAACACTCTACTGCATGTCAAACCAGATATGACTCTTGATTATTTTTCTGTAAAATTAAAATAAAAAAGCTTGAAAAACCGCGTCATTCTGCAACAGAAAATCCATACAGAGTTATAACTCACGCTGTCCAGAAGATGGCGACTGTGTAATATATATTTATACCCAGTGATTAGAAGAAAAAGAACCAGCAGGTCCACGTGGATCACCATTTTTCACCTTTTATTTAAATTTTGCACTTACTTTATTTTTTTCTCATAGCATCCAACTCAGAACACATTAGAGAAACCTGCAATGTGAGTCGGAGAACCACAATAGACTTGAGTGAACTATAGAGTGGGAGATCTTAAGGCCATGAGTCCAGCCACGCCTGGAGGACTGAGCTGTCAGGTGAATCAGGTGGTGAAAGGATGGAGTGATAACACAAGATGACAGACTGAGGGGACTGAGGGGTGCAGGGTTGGGCCCCTTTCTCCCCCCCCACGCTGTTTTTTCTCACAAGCATCCTCTTTAACCCAGGATTCCCTGGCTGGGGTGACTCACACCTTTAGTTAATGTGAGGTAATAGGATGTCGTGTTAAGTGTCATAACAGGACTTCTGCCTGAGTAAACGGCACAGCACACCAAACTCCTCACTAGCTATCCTCTGCCTAATTAGCAATGTTTGTCTTTAGACCACAGCTCAACACACACAAACATCAACACTCCACATTTATTTGCAGCCTTTTAGCGTAATGCTGTTCTGTATAGGAAGAAAAATATATTTAAAAAATGGACAGGTTCCTATGAATCTCAACAAGGTGCAAGTGGACAGGTCAAATAACAAATAACAGGGGTTGCAATAAAACTTGATTTAAATACATTTCGATATAAATATACAAAACAGATGAAAAAGGTTAAATTTAGGGACTTCATTATTTTCTAAATGACAACAACTCAAAGGAATTTTAAACCACACCAATACCAGCTTTAGAAATAACAATGCTGTGTCATACAGGCCTCTTTGCCTGTCAGCAGAGCCTCTGGCAGAAGCCAACATGCACATGTCGATGCGTGATTAGAGTCGACGTGCTCTAACAGACACCAGGGCATGTGAGGGAGGCTCCTGTCAGTCTGATGCTCTTCTGCACATGTATGCCAATGCAGATTGACAGGTTTGTATGTCTGAGAAGGCCAGTAATGTATGGTTTGTTGCTATGTTATTGGCCCCCAGGGGCCCCTACACCTCAGCTGGATAACCACAGCCTTTCCCTCCCAGCTTTCCCCCCATCCTAGCTCTGACAATAATATTATCACTTGTATTATAACTTTCTCTGCCTCTCCTTGTCTATTACCCGGAGAGGCGCTAACTTGAAGGGGAAATAATCTATATTCTTCTTTGCTTCTCTTTTGATGTCCATTTAGCAGGAAAGGGCCAAAACAACAGTTATTAAACAATCCTTCTGCACAGCACGTTGCCCCAGCTTCAGGTGGGGAAGCTGGGCAGTAAACCATGTGACACCAGGCCAGACAGTGCGGCTGCCACTTGGTTCTTAAGTGACAATTTTATGATATTACTGGATGTCTCCTGTCCTATCCTGTGTCATATCCATTTCCCAAAGTAACTTCATTTGATGCACTCTCTCCGCTCACAGACCTACATGACCACGGCTCTCTGACTATACAGTTAGTAGCCTTTTCAAACTACTCAGTGCTAAAAGCGGTAGATTTGATTACAAATTCATTTTATTAGGTTTCCCTAATCAGTGCAGTTAAGCTACTGTGATTCTATTTTGCTGTCTTCACCAAACTATATGATGCCACAGGACCAGCAAACCAAGATGGTCCAAGGTGCTGTTTATGGCTTTCTGTATTAAATGTGTGGTAGTTCAAACTGACCGACTGCACACTAGTTAAAATTACTGTTACACTGTGTCAGAAGCTTGTTGTTTGATTTAATCTTTCACTCATGTTTCAGCTATAAGATGTTGAAATCAATTTTCCTTGGCCTTTTTGCAAAAATAAAGACACTGATATCCCCAGAAAATGAGGATCATAATGTACCAATTCATCCAAATTCAGTCTTTATATTCTAAAGATTGAGTTTCAGGCGACAACAAATTCTGAGGTTGCAGAGTTTTGAATTTAGATGGTGTGATGTGCAAGTGATGACTTACACAGCAAAACTTCAACATTCACTTTACTGCACATCATGATGCGTTCAGGGGAAAGGAGTTTTAAAAAAAATGTGAGTAAAGCTGCAATCCCATCAGTCTTTGCTGCTGGTGAAATTCAACCGTGTTCAAAGACAGGCCTCTCGCCTTTAAAGTGAGTTATCGCATTGATCAACTCTAGCATCGTCGCTTTAGAGTCTGTAAATCATCCTGGACGTTTTAGTTGAAAGACGGTTAAAAAGTGAGGGTATGATTTCTACTAACAGGTACCCCCAAGTGTAGCACCAACAACTCCTCCCACTCGGCCCTGTCATCATCACAGGAGAAGCATCCTCCTCTCTGAGGAGCTGTTCCTCTGCCTGACTTTTCACAGTCCGGTGCCCCGACAGGACTCAGCGGTCATGGCCGGCAGTCTGACCCACCACAGCTCCCCGAACCCCGGCTATAGCACCAACAACGCGGTCCCGGTGCCGGTCATCACGCAGACGGAGTCCCGAGACAAATGGAGCAAAAAGATGGATTTTCTCCTGTCTGTGATTGGCTTTGCTGTGGACCTTGGGAATGTTTGGAGGTTTCCCTACATATGTTATCAAAACGGTGGCGGTAAGTAGGCTAAAGGTTTAAAAGCAAGTCGAGCCATAAGTTAGGATGTGCGGACTTTGTTTGTAAAACTTGTTCTGTCTTCAAATGATTTTGATCTCACAGCTTCTGCTCGAAAAAGATGACAGCAGAAACTGTCCATGGTGCTGAAGAGAGCATCCATCCGTTAGAAACTCAATTAAAAAGTCTTTGAAATGCATTTGGTCTTTGTTTATAATTTCAAAAAATAAAAGAGCTTAACAAGTTCGTATTAAGATAAGATTTTTAGGTCAGGGGACAAAAACTAGGAAAAGAATCACAGGACTATGTGGACAATTCTTTCTTTGCCTGCTCTAACAAGTGGGTCAGTTTCACTTAAATCATGCAGATTGACTCTTTAAGCTGGGATGGGAACCAAAATCAGGTTTAATTTTGTGTTTTTTGGCATTTACAAATGTCCTCAGATGTCATCTCTCTGTGCAGGTGCTTTCCTTATTCCCTACATTTTGATGGCCATCTTTGGTGGTGTTCCGCTCTTCTACATGGAGCTGGCACTGGGACAGTTTCACAGAACCGGAGCCATATCAATATGGAAACACATCTGTCCCATTTTCAAAGGTGATGCCTGAGCTGCTCGACAGATCATGTGCGGACAAAACATATTTGTTATTTGCAGCTACAAAGCTCTTTTCATCTTCTGGTGTGTTTCAGGTATAGGATACGCCATCTGCATCATCGCTCTGTATGTGTCCTTCTACTACAACACCATCATCGCCTGGGCCCTCTTCTACTTCTATTCCTCGTTCTCCAGCATCTTGCCTTGGACCAATTGCGACAATGTGTGGAACACCCCTGACTGCACCAACTATTTTGGCATGGACAACATCACCTGGACAAATGCCTCCAGGTCTCCGGCAGAGGAATTTTACACGTAAGTGCATGTAAGTGCGAGTAGCAAAAACCACATAGGTACACGGCTGTGCGGGAATCCTTGACACAGTCAAGCTGGTGGTTTTGTTTGGGAAATATGATCTTGTTGCTGAAAACGTGATGTTCCATGTTTTGTTTCAACAGGAGGAATGTTCTTGAGATCCACAAGTCATCTGGGCTGAGAGATGTTGGTGGGGTTCGCTGGCAGCTTATGCTTTGCCTTTTTCTCATTTTCACCATAGTGTATTTCAGCCTGTGGAAGGGCGTGAAGACTTCAGGGAAGGTAGCTTTTTGCTGTCGCTTTACTGCCACAACAATGGATGTTCTTTGCTTGAATCACAGATTTTGTCTTAGATTTCTGGTTCTCTTACACCTTTGTTTCCGACTCTGATATATCGCCTTCCTCTGCACCAGGTAGTGTGGGTGACCGCCACATTGCCCTATATTGTGCTTTTTATCCTGCTCATTCGAGGCGCCACTCTGCCAGGAGCCTGGAGAGGTGTGGTGTTTTATCTCAAACCACAGTGGGGAAAGCTGCTGGAGACCAGTGTGAGTTGAAGCTGGGGAACCAGCTGGTTTGTTATAAATTATATTATTATTTAAAGTTAAAAACAAACAAATGCTGTTAATTTAAACGATCCATAAAACCCTTGTTCTATGAGAATACCTTTTCAGTTACCTGTAGTCTCATTTGACATGTGTAAAAAT